GCCACTTCAAGCTCTTTACCTCCATGGCTGATGTCACCATTCAGTTCCAGTCGGACCCCGGGGCCTCAGTGCTCGGCTACCAGCAGGGCTTCGTCATCCACTTCTTTGGTGAGCTTGCCCCTGCCCTGCCCTGCCCTGCTGCTGGGGGTAGAAGCGACGCCAGGGTGCAGACCCCCAGCCTCGGCAAGTCAGAAAGGCCAGGGAGGTGAGGAGTCTGAGCACTCTTATCTGATTGGGGGAAGCTGGGACATTCCAGGCATCACCTTCGGGAAGCTAATCTTATTCTCCATCTCCCCTGAGGGCCCAGTGAGAGGAAGCAAGCCTCTGCTAAAGGGAGCTGGGTAGACAGTGGGAAGAACTTCCTAATAGAAACAGGGAACTGAGGAAAGGCCTTCATTTCTACCTTTCTGACAATCTTTGACAGAAGTGACCGTTTTCCCCACCCTACCCGGCCCCTCTCTCAAGGCTGAGGAATTGGCCAACGCGCTTTTGGAAGTAAGGCCAAAGTTTAGGTGACGACCCTGGAGTCTAGGAGACAGGCACGGAAGGACCCCTGAGCAGGAAGGCATGATCACTGAACCTGCCCAGGCCAGGCCAGGCCTGGATGAATTGGCAGGAGCTGGCGTGCCCTCGAGGGGAGGGAGGCTGGCACAGTCTCCCTTGGGTGCTGCTGAGGGCCTGCATCTTGCTGCCCCCAGAGGTGCCCCGTAATGACACATGTCCGGAGCTACCTGAGATCCCCAATGGCTGGAAGAGCCCGTCGCAGCCCGAGCTGGTGCATGGCACCGTCGTCACCTACCAGTGCTACCCTGGCTACCAGGTGGTGGGCTCCAGCGTCCTCATGTGCCAGTGGGACCTCACTTGGAGTGAGGACCTGCCCTCATGCCAGAGGGGTGAGTGTACCTGCTCCGCACGCTCTCCCCAGTGCAGCCTACAAGCCTCTCTCCTGGATTCTGATCCAGACTCTAGCTGTTATTAGCTGGTAGTCATAGCCTCAGTTGCCTCATCTGTGAAATGGGATCATGCCTTCTCATAGGGTTATCCACCAAGTACTCCAAGTTTTCCATTCCTGGTATGTGGCCGGCCCATCAGTGTTGGTTGATTCTGATGAATGGGGAGGGGGACAAATGGAGAGATAACATCAGCACAATGGTAGAGGCAGATAAATAGGGGTGGAGCCCTGTGCTCTGAAGATGTTGGCAGGCCTGAAACAAAACCAGTATGCAGTGGTTTTTGTTGAGTTCCACTTGGGCCTCTTCCCTCTGTCATTCCCTACCGTCAGTGACTTCCTGTCATGACCCTGGGGACGTGGAACACAGCCGACGCCTCATATCGAGCTCCAAGTTCCCCGTGGGGGCCACCGTGCAGTATATCTGCGACCAGGGTTTTGTGCTGACGGGTAGTGCCCTCCTCACCTGCCATGACCGCCAAGCCAGCAGCCCCAAGTGGAGCGACCGGGCCCCCAAATGTCTCCGTGAGTGTCAAATGGGGAGGTGGGAGGCTGCTGCCTCTGGCGGCTGGGGGCCTGGCACCCTCACTGGGCCCTGACTGTTTTGCAGTAGAACAGCTCAAACCATGCCACGGCCTCAGTGCCCCCGAGAATGGTGCCCGCAGTCCCGAGAAGCGGCTGCACCCAGCGGGGGCTACTGTCCACTTCTCGTGTGCCCCTGGCTACGTGCTGAAGGGCCAGGCCAGCATCAAATGTGTGCCCGGACACCCCTCACATTGGAGTGACCCCCCACCCATCTGTAGGGCTGGTGAGTGTCCTGCCATCTGCTGAACCTCTACCTGGCCCACAGGGCTGCCCTGGCAAAGATGTCACAGGCCGAGAACCAAAACCCCCTGCCCACGCACCCCCACTTCTTGTTATTCTTGGTCTCCCGGGTGTCTGCCAGATCCTTTTGACCTGGTGACAAACTTTGGGGTGGGCTCCCCTTGGACAAATTCCTCCCCATAACCAGCCCACTCCCTGCCTTTGTAGTCTGGCTCTTTGGGCTCACCCACTGCCCTTGGCCCTCCCCTCTTATTCCAGCCTCTCTGGACGGCTTCTACAGCGGCCGCAGCCTGGATGGTGAGCCCCCAACCTCCTCGAGGGTCAGGGAAATAATCTCCCTGCCCCTTGTTCTCACAGCTTCCAGGCTGTGGGCTCCCCAAGGAGGGAGGGCAGAGAAAGAGAGAGATCTGGGACTAACAGGGGGCAAAAAGCTCCTTCCCCGCCCCCAGCCAGCTAGATGGAGCTGGCGGCTGGCTGCCCCTGGGCAGAGACAAGGGGATGTGGGACCCAGGCAACAGGGCCCTCTGCCCTAGCCCCATCCTCTGTGCTTTCAGTTGCCAAAGTGCCAGCTGCCTCCAGCACGCTGGATGCTGCTCACATCGCAGCTGCCATCTTCTTGCCGCTGGTGGCGATGGCGCTCTTGGTGGGAGGTGTGTACCTCTACTTCTGCAGGTGAGTCTGGCTTCCCTGCCTGCCCTACACCCCTGACCTGCTCCTGCCCAGCACTCCTGACTCCTAGGCTTCTCTGCTGCACAGGCTCCAGGGGAAGAGCCCCCTGCAGCTGCCCCGGACACGACCCCGCCCTTATGACCGCATCACCGTGGAGTCAGCATTTGATAATCCAACTTACGAGACTGGAGTAAGTACCCAGGCCAGGCTCGACACCCTAGTCAGGACACAATTCTGTGCTTCCTTGGCTAGGTACCACTGCGGGTCCTGCCAAGCCCTTTCACTCTTTCCTTTTTCCTCAGGAAGGTGGATTGTGGGCTGGCAAGCCTTTGACAAGTTTCCAACTCCCAGAAGTCTCTTTCCTTTGCAGGAGACGAGAGAATATGAAGTCTCCATCTAGGTGGGGCGGCCTGGGGAAGCCGGCTCCACCCTGCATCCGAGTCTAGCAGCAGAGCTCCCAGCTTCCTGCTCCCTTGCCCTCCACCTCCTGTACATACCACCTGGGAAGAGATGCCGCCAGTCCCTCAAGAAGTTGTGCGCTTCCCGCCTGCAATACCCACCGGGGCCTATTTTCTTGGGACCACTGCCCACTTAGGGCCCTTCCTTGGGTCCAAGTTAGGGGCATCTGCCTCCAGGCCAAACAGCTGGAGCACATGCACCAAGAACCAGCATTCTCCTGACCCTCTCTCAGGCCTGGGACCTCTAGGCTGGAATTCACAGGCAGGGCAGAGTACCTCCCTCCATGTGACCACCCTCCAGCCCTGGCATGCAGCAGCCCTGGCATGACAGCGGCAGAAACTGTGCCAGGTTGCTCCGCACAGGGCCGTTGCCAGTGGCCAAAACCGCTCTCAACAGTGACCTCTGGGTAGTCCTGGCATGCTGACATCAGTCCCCTGCGGGAAATCTCTAGTCTTTCTCTAAGGCCCCAGGAATGGTCAGTTCTGCCTCCTGCCCCTTCCTGGCAGAGGCAATAATGCTAAGGGATCTTAAGGGATTTAGGGACTCTACCCCAAGCTCAGGTTGGGCTCCCCTAGGCCACACCACTCATGCTCCACACCAAAGCAGGACACCCCCCGCTGCTCCCCTGGCGGCCCTACACCCTAAGAGAGGGAGACCCTACCCTGACATCAGTCCGGCTGTGAAAAACACCCTCTTGCCCACCTTCCCCTCCTCCAACCCCAGCGACCTGTCAGGCTTCCCTCCTGGCAACTGCGTTTTGGGATAAGGGGAGTGGCAGGCATATTCTAGAGGTGAGCAGAAGTCCACAGGTACAGGAATTTGGCATGGAACAGGGGGTCAAAGCATCCCAGGGAGAGGCCCAGGAGTTGGCTGCAGGCTACTTTGTACATGTAATGTATTATATGGGGTCTGGGCTCCAGTCAGAGAACAATCTTCTATTTCTGTTGTTTCCTTATTAAAATGGTGTTTTTGAAAAAAAAAAAAAAAAGCAATGGCCTGGTGGATGGTGCTTTCTTGGAGTGAAGGGACATGGGAGACAAATGGGATGTGGACTTGAGGGCCAGAAGGCATGCTAAACCTACCAACTGATCATCTCCAGACTTTATCAAAAACCAGTCATGGGAATTCCCTAGAGGCTCCAGCGTCTGGGATTCAGCACTTTCACTGGACAGTCTGGGTTCAATCCTTGATCACAGAACTAAGATCCTGCAAGCCCCACATGCAGTCAAGCAAACAAAAACAAAACGTATCCACGTGCCAGTGCCTCAGGGACTACTGTCTCAATAAGACCAGTGTGACAGCTGGCATGTGCAGTGAGAGGCCCCAAGGTTGGGGCCACAGGGGTATGGGAACCCAGAAACTGAAATGCTCAGCCATCCCAGTGCTTCACTTCCCCCTCTTTGCTAGGTCCAGAACCAAAGCCTGGCACAGTTCTAAGTCTGTCCTCGAACGCACTGTACTGCTGAAAAAGCCCAGAAAACCTGACGCCTCTCCTCCTTCACTTCATTCCAGCTAGCAAGGTTTAGGAAATTGGAATAGGAATCAGAGACTGAGCCCCTAAACGTGAGGCTCTAGTCTGTCTTGGCCTCAGAGAACATCCAGACTGTCAGGTGCAGAGGCAATGCAGCCTAGGGGCTTAGCTCCTAATTTAACAAAAGCTGTGTCCATGGACTCCAGAAAGAGGTAACTGAAGATGTGCTTAAGTTTGCCTTGTTTGGTCCCTCTCAGCATCTCTGCCCCTTCTCTATGGCCCCCAGCATCTCTTGAGATGTGTTTAGCCAGCCTTGGTCTGCATCACACACATCCATGCTTAGAGGTGTGCTCTGCATTGCTGCTCTCCAGAATAAGAGCAAAAGGAAGACAATAGGGAGTTGTGGGCACTCAGAAGCCAGAAGACGGAAATGGTAGCAGCAACCAGAACTTCTACAGTTATCCAACTCGGAGATCTTGGACCACTCATGGCTGGCCACCTCCTGGTTCTACCACAAGCCACCTTGAAGGATGGAGAGGCTCCAGCCCATGCAGAATGCAGTGCCTACATTAGCCACAAGAGGTCACTTCCAAAGGCATGTGTATCCCACCTGCTCTCCTCAATCCCCCTGGCACATCCAGGGCTGGAGCTCTCCAAGGTGGCACCAATTTCTAGCCCCACTGGGCTGACCTCACCCTCCAACTTCTGAGAGGAAGGTGCGTGGAGTGATTAGTTCTCCTGGTACTTGTCAACAGAGCCAAGTAGTATTTCCCTCATTAGCCCATTAATGCCTATGTCTGTTCTCAACTGCAGTGATGGTGTTGACCAAAGCAAAGCCTTGCTCTTTGGGCATGTGCCAGTTGCTTACTTATCTGCCCTATAATACCTTCAGGCTGACACAGCAGCATGGCTGGGCCCTGAGTTGTAGAAAGGAAGCCAGTAGGAGAGGGTACATGATATACCCATTTTTGAGCATCTGTAGCATGAAACACTGCCTAAGAAGACATGAGGTCCAGCCACTTCCATACTTCTAACTCAGCCCTTCTCTCTCTGAAGGCTACATCTCTGTCCCAGAGCCACTAAGATTTGCTGAGGCTGGTAGAGGGTAGAGAGTGCCGATCTACATGACATATTCCCCTGCTTGATCAATAAGACCCAGGACTTTATTATTCTTCCCAGGCACCAACCGGATCATTAGGAACGTCAGAAGAACAGAAACCAAAGACCACACACCCACGATCTCACGCTATACAACTCATCCTCCTTACTATCCACCACCCCAAAGCAGCAACTCCTCTCAGGCAGTTAGACAGTATCCTAGCCTGGGAATTTAAAAAATATGTTTCATTCTTAGGTCTGCCATAAATTCACTATGTGAACTAGGCAAATCACTACTTTTCTCTCTGCATCTGGAAATGAAGAGGTTAATACAGATGGTTTTTAAGCCCTTTCCAGTTTTAGGTTTCTGAGAATGCTAAGTATACCTTAACATCAAAAGTGAGCCAGGACACAGCTACCTGGTAACAATGCCAAAGAAACACCTCGAGTCAGGCACAATGATGCCCCTCCCTCCTCCACCGCTTCATCTACAGTCAGGCAGAGGCAACTGGCCATCTCTGTAGATGGCACCAAGGGGAGGGACGGGCGCGGTAGAGAGCGTGAAGCCCCGCCCAGAGTCCAAGGTGAGACCTTCAGACTACAAATCCCAGCATACAGTGGCAGCTCTGAAAGGTATCTCGCTCTTCCCCGAGTCCACATTACATTACACTGCATCGCACGCATCGCATCACACGGAACTACGGTTCCCAGAATCCACCAGACCCATCGCGATTCTTGCTCCCAGGGTGCAATGCTCTCCCTTCGCCCTTTGGACCTCTGCGCGTTGCAAACTGGGAGCTGAAGTCCACTGCGGGCAGGTAGCTGGGCGTTGTCAGCATTACAAACTCTTCGCCTTTGGCTTTCTCTTGGAGGGCAGTTTTCAGAGACAGTAATCAAAAGAGGTTTGTATCGGGCAGGCGGACCTCCATGGTGCCATCACTACTAAAGGCAGGGATGATCAGGCTAAAATTTACTGCTGGGAGCGGGAGGGAAGAGAGAACAGAAGCCATCCAACCCGACACCAAAACCATCGCTTTCCGTCGCGATGGCTTTTCTTTTTCTCTTTACCAATATGGCGCCTGGTCCAGCCACACCTGACGCTGGAACCAAACAGTCCAGTACAACATCCCTAGGAGTACACGCTGTCACCGACAGCCCACCAGCGCCAACCAACACCACACTTTGCTCCTTTCTGTTCACGGCTGAGGACTCCAAGGGCATGGCAGTCTATAACCCACTACCAAAATGGCGAAAGGAGAAGCATTCTTGTTGGGGCCTTCTGGTGACAATACGCCTGCGCCGGAGTCGGTTGTGTTATTGTGGGGCGGGAGGGGAGCATCCGCAACACGCCTGCGCGGGAACACAGTCCTCTTGGTCTACACTCAAACACCAATGGATGAAGAGCCCCGGTGTTCTTGCGGCTGCGCTGTGACCCTTCGGAGCTTTCCCAGGCGCCTGCGCGAGACCGCAAGTCCCGCCCTTTCATCGCAGTACGCTGGCGCAGGGCTGAAAGGCGGGGCTTCGGCCCTTCAGACGAATGCCAGCGCGGCTGCGCGCCGGGGGGTGCCCCCTCTCTGCGGCTGCGCGGGAGCCCGGCCGCCGGCTGTCACTGCGGTTGCGCGCGGCGAGCGGCGATCCCGGGGCGCCTGCGCGGGTGGCTTTGCGGGCGCTCGCGGTAAGTTTGCGCCAAGTGCGCGGCAGCCGGGACGCTGACGGCGGCGGCGGCGAGAGGCGGAGCCCGGGGACCACCCCCCATCACCCTCCCCGCAGTCACCTCACGTACCACAACCTCACCTAACCTCTCACCCCCCCCCTCCGATCCCCCCAACCCCGGGATGGCAGCGCCCGCCAGGCTTCCCGGCCGGACCAGCGGTCACCAGCGCCGGCTCTAGCCTGTGGGACTAGGCCCCGCCGAGGCCTGACCCCCCCCCGAGCCGGGACCCACCGTGCAGCCAGCCGCCGGGCCGGGGCTGAGGGGCCGCTCCCCCCTCACGGCCCGTGGGGAGGACGCTGCCGTCCCGGGGACTGGGGGCCGGGGGGTGGTTGGGGGGGCCGGAGCAGAGAGCGCCCAGCCCGGGAGGTGGATGAATGTGGGAGAAAATGGAGACCAAGACGATCGTGTACGACTTGGACACGTCGGGGGGGCTGATGGAGGTAAGAGTGGCCCACCTCATCCCCTTCCCCCAGCGCCGGGAGGGAACCTCCGCCCTCCGCCCCACAAAGCCGGCCCTGAGCTCGCAGCGCAAGAGGGCCGGGGGAGGAGGGGGGGCTCTTCCTCACCCAGACTCTCCCTCCCATCTTTGCAACTCGGGGGGCTGAGCTCAGCCGCCGAGGACGTTTGCAGCAGTTTCACCTACCCGCCGCCCTCGATTCGCTCTCCCGAAGCGCCAACCCACTCCATCTCTTTGCACCGGCGGGCCTCCCCACCCCCTCCTTGTCGGCCCCTTTGTGCTTCCCCCAGCACGTCCGGGTACCCGGCTTCAGGCCTTTCCCGAGCCTGGCTTTGGAGTCCCCCACTGTCCATACAAGGAAGTGGCGAGAAGGGAACCGCGCACCCTCTCCCCATCCCCCTACTCTGATCCTCCCCATTTGGAAGAAGCGGTGCTCGTTGTTGTGCGGCAGGAACGCGGTTAGGGTGGGCTCCCCCTGGTTCCGGGGGCTAAAAGGTTCTGGGAGCAGCCTGGATGGGAGGAAGAAGGACAAAAGGGGGGAGAGGGGTGGGTGACGGAGAAGCCGCGCCGGGGGGGCGACGGACCGCCCGGGAGCTCCGAGTGTGCACACACGCCATTTGTATGTGTGTGCAGCAAATCCAAGCTCTGCTGGCTCCCCCCAAGACGGACGAGGCCGAAAAGCGGAGTCGGAAGCCTGAGAAGGAGCCCCGGAGAAGCGGCAGGGCCACCAACCACGACAGCTGCGATAGCTGCAAAGAAGGTGGGGACCTCCTGTGCTGTGACCACTGCCCGGCCGCCTTCCATCTCCAGTGCTGGTAAGGTCTGGGGACCCCCTCCGGAGCCCCTTGGCGGACCCTTCCCGGCACATTCCTTCACCCGGCCTACCCCTGCTGGCCGAGATAACGGGCGCTTGCAGCCGCTAGCTCTCTGCTGCCGCTGGGGCGAGCGCCTCCCCGCCCCCAGGTGCGGCCCGGATCCGGCCGTTTGAGGGGGAGGAGCAGCCGTAGGTCCGGACCCCGAGGTGGGGGTGGGGAGGAGTGCGGAGTGCCCCATCTGGGATTGGAAGTCGCTGGGGAGCCGGGACGGAGCCGGCGGGGCACGGCCGGCGGTGGCGGGGGAGGAAGGGGAGGAGCTCCGGGCCCTGCGCCGCTCACTGCCCGCCGCCCGCGCGCCCGCCCGCCGCCCTCGGGCTCCTGCCGGGATGGGCTGGCCTCGGGGTGGGTGCGCGGAGCCCTCGGCCGCCGGAGCTGCCCTGGTCCAGGCCCGAGGGACCCGGCACCCGGGCGCTCCCAGTCGTGGAAGAAATCATGGAGGGTGTCTCTCGCCTCTGCTCCGCTTCTCTGTTTACAATATGGCGACCCGCCTTTAAATTATATTTTTATTCTCAGCGCCATTTTGGCTGCATATATGATTTGCAGACGTCTCCCGGGGAACAGTGGGGTAACCTCGGAGTCCTTTCGGCGGAAGCTCGTCGGGCGCCGGGGCTGGGGTCTTGCCGTTGGGATCCCCTTTCTCTGCCGCCGCTTGCCCCTGTTGCCTGTCGGAGCTGCCTGCCTCTTCCCTCTCCTCCCCGCGCTGCCGCCTCTTAGGAAATCGAGCCGGGTTAGACAATTAAAATTGCCCTTGGGCGCCGATTTCACTGCTCCGCTCCGGGTCGGCGAACCCTTCTCTGCAAAATTCTTTGCTGCCGGGGTTCTGTGTGCGGTGGCTCCGCGAGGGCATTTTTAAGGAGAGGAGAGCTGGAAAGCCAGGCGCATTTTCTTCCCCCCACTTAATGAACACAAGGGGAGGCGAGAGACCGAAGAGGGAGGGAGGGACCGGGGTTAGTCGCCCGCTGCTTGATCCTCCTCAGCAGTTCAGCCCAGAACAATCCTACCAAGAAGAGTGTAAACTCCAGCTCCTTCCTGGAGAAGTCACCTCGGCCTTCCTCAAAAATCCCACATCTGCGCCGGGACCCCGATCACATCTTGTTCGGATGGCTCTTGTTCTGTTCAGCAACAGTTGACTGGGGCAGATGTTTGCGAGAGGAGATGGCTGGGGAGAGAGCGGTAAAGAGAGGGGCTGCTGCTTTTGTTCTCACCCGTTTTTGATATTGCCATTTTTGGCCTTTTCTTTAAAAAAAAAAAAAAACATAAAGTGAGGTTTTCCTTAAGCTCTCTACACAGTTCCATTCACATTCCGCCTCTAGGTTGGTGGAAGAGTGCCTATTGTGTGTTTGTACTAATTGCAGTTTTGGGAACACTTACTAGACAGATGACTGATACTGGGCAAATTAAGTCTGTGGTCAGAAGTTCTGTAGGAAGCTCCCATTACCATTCCCAAGATTCCTTTGCCCAGGAGAGCACCCCATCTTGGCTTGTAATGTTGCAGGGACAAAAATGATTATCCTGGAGGGAGCTTTGCTGATGGCTTTAAAATTTTTATTGCTTAGTGACTAAGGCCAGCAGGAAGGGTCTGTGGTTTTTAGCCTTTGCTTCCTATAAGGTGTAAGCCATCTCCTGTCACATTTCCTGTGCTGTTGTTGAGCACAGAAGAGATTTGTACTGGGTGGTGTTGTGTTGCTTACTAGTTATTCCCTGTTGATTTTGTTTGGTTTGTGATTGTGTTTGATACATACTAAGAGTGAATTGTAGGCTCCTTGATTTAAAACATGGGTTAATATTTTACCTCTCGAATGAAGTGAATGTTAACCAAGAAGGGTGACTCCCATATTGAGTGAGACTTTTGTAAGCTCTTTATTATTTGTTTAATCAAGCTGAAATTGTTTATTAAAAACCTCAGACAAGGGGGAAGTGTGCTGTTTTGCCTGAGATTGGGCTTTTAAACTCTAAAACCTAACTCCTGAATCTTTGCACTAGATGAGTCCAAGTCTTGTCAAGTTGTAACAATTAACAGTTCTAATTTAGCTGGTGGGAGAGAGAGGCGCTTTGCTTTTCCTTCTTTTTGAGATTCAGACTGTGCATTTCATTGACTACTTTTTTTTTTTTTAAGACCATGAATGGAAAGTGGTAATCAGAGATTTGAGAATCCTAGTAAATGAGACAGCCCTTGTTTCACATCTCCAGTTCCCTCTTTGAAGATGCTAGTACTGAATGTAACATTGATGTATCTGAGTAGTTATAAAAATCACAAAACATTGTAGATACTGGTACAAAGGCAGGAAGCCTTCTCTCAAGTGAGGTTTATCCCACTTTACTGCTTCCTACCCCACACTCTTTCTAGCCCAAGAGAAGTATTTCTTTAACCATCTCAACCGGAGTAGTTAGGTCAAGCAGTTAATAGTGTCAAATTTTTGACTCCTGCTTGTGCTCTCGGTAATTTGTCCCATTATCACTTATTTGTGTCATGTGAGAGTGAGGTTAGGAGGTGTGTCTGTTCTCTCTTGCTTCCCTTTATAACTGGCTAAGACTGGATTATTTACATAAGCATAGTAAAGATGACTTTCCTCTTATACGGAATGTACAAAAGGGAAGATAGAGTTTTGCAAACTCTGTAAGTCTTAATCACAGTGCTGCTGTAGGTCTCCATTCAACGCTCCGGGAGACAAGTCCTTTTGCAGTCTCTGGTGTGCCTGACCAGCTTGCCTCACAGTGAACAGGATCTAGTAAAATGCTCCAGAAGTGATTTTAGGTACACTTTACCTGCTGGACTTAGTGACATGGCCATAACCCCGGGGGTTTTTCTAAGATAACCTACTGGAGGAATTGAGTGGTCCAATAAGCTGTTTTAATTGTCTTGTCTTTTCTTAGGGGCCAGTGCTCTGTGTGAGGAACCTTTCTTAATTAGACCGGGAGCCCTGTTTCTGGGTTTTCTCTGATAACTTTCTGGGCGAGGGAATGGATTGTCCTATGCTCAGAATCCTGGACTTACTAAAGAATTGAATTTGAAGAGCTGATGTCTTCATATTCGTTTAAGTGATAGGGTAATCAATTTTATCCAAGTTTAACTGGTTTATCAATTATTCAGAGTGGTGGTAAGGGTTACTAAATTTGCCCCTAGAGAACCAGGAAGAGGTGTTTTCAAGTGTTCCCTGGTGAACCTGACCTTTATCATAATTGTTGAGCTTTCTGAAAATACTGATCTCCATGGACTGGTCCCTAAAAATTAGCCTTTAAAAAAAAAATTAGAAAACTGGCAGAGCTCTAGTTGCAGCCGACCCATCTTTCTGTTTGAGAAGGATGGGATTGTTCTCAGGGACAAAGTGAGTACCATAGGGCATCACTAGTGAGGCTGACTGGAACCTAAACGGTTGCTTCTGGTTGCATTTTGCTGCAGACAGTCTGAGGGACCAGAACTGTCTGGGTGAGAAGTGCATCTCCCTCGCAGACCTCAGCATGGTCGCTTCCCGTCAGACAGATTTCTGTAGCATTTGCCTCCGCATGTTATATTTGGAATTGTTGGCCGGCTTTCCTCTCTCTGGTGTTGGCAGCAAGATCCAAAACGAGGTTTTCGAAGAATGAGAGTAAAAAGGTCTCTGTGCACAGGCAAAACTAAGCTCAGCTTGGAGTTTTGCATATTTAATTTTCAGTGAGTCATAACGAGAAAGGTCTCACACACACAGTAGAAGACTGCCTTGTAGAAAACCTATATACTGTTCGAACTTCTAAGGGAGTGATTTTTCTGCTTTTGTTGTCGTTAGAATAGTACCAAGCAAGTGGTGAATTAAAATACATTTATTTTAGTGTTATCTTACAAATCTTTTGTTTCTGACATTCTGAGTGCTTAGAAGCCTGGCACTGAAGAACTGGAGATGACAGCATCTGAACTCCCTCCCTTTATTCTGCCCACTCATAGTAAAACGATTCAACAATAAACAAACCTGGGACATCCCTGGAGGTCCAGTGGTTAATATTGCTTCCCCTGCAGGGGATGTGGTTCAATCCCTGGTGGGGAATCTAAGATCCCACATGCTGTGCAGAGCGGCTAAAAGACTTATTTAAAAAAACAACCCTAATTTGGTTTTATGTTTATTTTTTTTTTGTATTTGCTGTGTTGTGTTGGAATCTGGATGTGTAGTATTGTTTTTAAATGATCCACTCAGACATCGAGGTTCCACTAACATTTAACTTTAACTCAATTTCAGTGTGCATGCTTTGTGAAATTTACTTTTTTTTTCAGATTTATTTCATTTATTTTTACCAAAGGCTTTGTAAACTTAACGTGGGGCTCAAGGGCCAGTTCTAACGAAATGAGTGCTGTAGTTGGAAGATAACAGACAAACACTGTTTAAAAATATAAGGATAATACTTGGGATGAGTTGTTTACTCACAAAATGTCAATCTCTTGCTGTTCCTTGAGGCTCTCAAAGTACTTTACAGATGGGCTCCACTAATATGTTAGGGCTGTCTGAGGCCTTTGTGGTATTGGGGTTTTTATGTTTTTGTTTATTTGTTTTTTAATGTGTTTAAATTTGCAAAAGTCGTATTTAGGTACTGCCTTCATTTTAATCTTGGAGGTGAGATTCATCTTGGTCTTTTTAAAATTCTTAAGTGTTTCCAAGAGAATTGTTTAAAAGCCAGATCATAAAGGCAAATAAATTATTTAATTTGAACTGAAAAGGAATTCAAATAGTCACTACTGTGTGTTGAATGAAACCCTGTATTTTATTAAGTACAAGTGGCACTCAGAAGGGCTCAGTGAGTTTTCAGGGTTCATCGTTCTAAGATTTGTGAGCACTTCATTTTTTTTTATGGCTGAAAACAATTCTATGTATGATTACCATATATACACACACACCCTGTGTTTTTTAAAGTCCATTCATCAGTTGATGGGTATTTGGGTTATTTGTTCTTTTTGCTATTGTGAATAATCATGCTATAGATACTTGAGTGCAAGCTTTCTCTTGGACATCTGTTTTCATTTCTCTTAGGTATATACCCAGGAGTAAAATCACTGGGTCATATGGTAACTCTTATATTTAACCTGTGAGGAACTGCTAGACTATTTTCCAAAGTGGCTGCATCATTTTACATTCCCATCAGCACTGTATGAGCATTCCAGTTTCTCTACATCCTTTTCAGTACTAGCTATTACTTGTCTTCTTGATTAAAGCCATCCTATGGGTATGACATGCTATCTCACTGTGGTTTTGATTTGCATTTGCCTGATGGCTGACTATATTGAACATCTTTTCATGTGCTTCTTGATCATTTGTATATTTTCTTGGAAAAATGTCTATTCAGATCCTTTGTCTGATTTTAATTGGGTTATTTGTATTTTTATTATTGAGTTGTAAGAGTTCTTTATGTATTCTAGATACACGTCCTTTGTCAGATATATGACTTGCGAGTATTTTCTCCCATTCTGTAGGTTGTCTTTCACTTCCCCTATCTTCTTATTTTTTAATTTTTACTCTTATCTAGTAAAAGACGGCTGATTTAAGCACACTTTAATGTCTTTGCCTATGTTTTCTATGTCAAGACAGTAAGTAAAGGATTTTTCATGAACTCAGGATGATGTGTCTCAGTAGAGGGAACCTTATAATGATTTGGTATGTTGCTATTTCAGCTTTTCTGGGTGACCACTCTTAGCAAAAAAGTAAAGCTGAAAGTTACCATGGAGGATGTATAAAAAAAATCCACCACATGGCTCCCACCAGCCACAGAAAATTTCTGTGTACAGGCACTTCTCATACATGGAGGGCCCTGGTGTAAGGAGGAAGATTTTAATCACCTCAGTTTGATAGGTACAGCCTTGGGGTGGACATAACTATAGATGAACTAGTGAGCTTTTTGATCCCGGTTAACAAGAACAAAAAGTTGGTTTGAACATTGCAGTGAATTCCTCACCTGTTTATATGTATCTATATCTAAGCCCAGGTAGCAGTAAATAGGGAGATAGCAGGCAGAGACTATTTGCTTGAAGGTTTTATGTAGGTTATACAAGAAACCATCTGCTATGATGCCCCCAGGAGGGGTTTTTTTGGTACCCTAGAAATGCAGGTATCCTGCTTCTTAACAGAAACGGGTATATTTTTTCTTCTGTAAGTTGCTAGAACAATAGTAAATAGATGGAGTTGATTGTTGTTTGTTTTG